TGCCTGTTTAATGTTTATAATTTTTTGCTCGAGACAAAGTAAAATGTACTCTACGTTTCCAGTGTATAGAATATCTCGTTTGTGTTTGAACAGCAATAGAATATTATAAACTTGACACAAACAAGAAGACATTTGACACGCTAATTCTGCAGTCATGCCTGCCAATCGTCGCAAGCTTGACTGCCTTGTCAAAAGCAAAACAAGTACGAATTTGGGTTCAAACAGAAAGACGTTCAATGTTAATACCATTAACATATATTCTATAGAAATACGGGTGGTTTAAAATGTTTTCAATTGAATTTTTAAAGCTTTTATCTATCGACATGATAATCAAACTGTGAAAATGCCGGCTTTTGTTGACGCTTGCGAATGCAGAATAACTTCCCGTAAACAGAGCATTTCTACACAAAACTCTCGCTTAGTCTTCTAATGCACTTGTATGTTCGGTTCTATTAGTTAAACAAGGAAAATATCCAAGAAACTTGGTAAATTATCGTTGTTTAATATAAAAACATTTCAGTGCTGAGGCAGTACAAGGACTTAAGGCCAAGGGCAAGGTCAAGTTGTCGATTTCATTACATTTTCAGTAGTTCGAATGTTTTCGAACTCTTATCTCATACAAGAGCAGTAAACGCACGCATTTCAAAGCGAAATTAGACGCAAAGGGGCAATTTTTCAGCAAAATTCATTGTTAAATTATGTTTCCTATGTGCCTTGGGAGCAAAAAAATATGATTTTAAATTTGGAGATTTCGGTAATTTTTTTTGCAATTTGGCCTGGTATTGCACCCTACCTATGTACTAACTGTGCTGTAAAAGTAATCAAATATACTATTTTTAATTTCCTTTCTTTGAAAGGATCTACTATTGTGGACTAAACTAAATTTTAATCAGCATACAAGGCTGCAAACAACAGCCAAGAATTAGCTGGGTAGTTTGTAAACTTTAAAAATAATTGGACCTCAAACTTCGATCTCCAGAAGTAAACAAATAGACAATACTGCGAACATAATCCAAGTTTTGATCACGAGGGGCAATTTTTAGATGTAAAAAAACTTGTTTAAATTACATATCAAACTAAGGCAAAACAAAATTTGGTATTAAATTTTTGGTGAAATCGTCAAAGTTTTTTGCTATCCGCCCACACTTCTACACCCCCTCTCCCAGGATATTCTACCTCAAAAAACAGTTTTCTACAGAAACTATGCTTTTTTATCGGAAAAATGTTTACTTTTCTCAAAACATACATTATAAACACGGAAACCTTAAATATTTAAATAATTTTCATACCTTTTTGGGACTGAAAAAAGCAAAATTTGATTCATTATCCCACTTTTTAAAATATATGTGACAAAGTTGCTTCAAAATCACCATCACGCAGTAGCATGTTTATTTACCCTCATCCTTTTGACTGAATAAAGTTTATCTTTTTGAAAAGCTATTTGTTTTATAGCTCTTGGTTAGCAGTTTATGTTTATGTCGATTTTGGCACCCATGAGACCAACAAGTTGTGGTAATCCGCGAATGAAAACTGATATTCGAAGAGCACAAAAGCCAACTCCTAGCTATGTAACTTTATCGCCTGAATTTTGAATCAATCCAAAATTAAAATGCTGATAATGTAGATGCTTTCCATACTTGAGATGTTAGTGAAGTTTTTCCTACAATTTAATTTCCTTGATCGCCGTCTTAAAAATACAAAATCATCAGTTGAAATTTCACTCGTGTTGTTTTTTCAAATTTTCGATTTTTTGTAAAATATCGCGTGCGCCAGCAATTTCTCTGCACAGCGACAACAAATTTCCCAGCTGCTACAAATATGAGCAGCTGGGAAATTTGTCTGAGCATGCGCGAGTGAAAATTGCGTGGCGCTCGCGGGAAATTTAAAAATCACAATAAACAAAGATGGCGGCAAACTTTTTTAAATGCCTTTTGCCTTTTCTCCTGCTTATAATTCACTTAGTTTCTTCAGTTCCAACTAAAAAAATTCCTAAGTGTATAGTTTGCCACAAATATTTAGACAAAAAATTGGAAACGACACGAAAAAATCTTCCAGAACGTCATGACCTCGAAGCTTGCTTCGGCGTGTCGTACGACGAGCCAGGTATACTTTGTTCGGCCTGCCGTAGAGCTGTTTATCGTTACAAAAAGACAGGAAAAACATTCTTCCATGTAAGTATCTTTATTCTTATACAATTAAATATTATTCTTTAAACATATACCTTGTAAACTGCATTTAACTTACTGACAGTCAGCTAACTTCAGTTGGTCCCATTGTACTGTAGATAATTTAACCCTTTAAAATATATACAGAATCTAAATAATGTACATTGGTTTTTAATTGTATTTCTATTTTATTAAAGAATTCTATTATACATGCATTATAAGGCTTGATAAAAACAATCAAGGCTGTAAACATACACCTACAGTAATTACTATAATTTAATTTACAGCTTGTAGTGGATTCTGAAAGCAAGAGGGTTGGTAGGCCAGTCAAAAGAAAGCTACAATTTCCCAAGAAAGCACTTGATAATAACTCTGAATGGATGGAGGAATACACCTGCTTTGGCATCATCAAAAGATCTTCCAATGGTGAAGTTATTTTACCTCCTGGGTTGTTTGAAGAAATCGATGAAAGCTTCAGAAAACTTTCTGAAAGTATGTCTAAATAAAATGAATGTACATTATAGAATGTAAAGGGATTATAACAGTAATAGGTAGTGCAGGCACTGTATTAAAGAGGAAAAAATGGTTTCTGCCTAGGGTGGTCTTTAACAAAGTTAAAATGAAAAATACTATAATTCTGTTTCTTGCAGGATGTGACCTTAAATATGAGCTTGACAGGGTAAAAGAGAAAATCTATGAGGAATTCATAATACAAAAACACCCCCCAATTTACAACCCAGATCAATTCGCTGAATTTTGCCACTCAGCCGGAGCCGAGAATATATTCAATCACATTCTAATGTCTGTTACCAGTGAGCGGCACTCAAGCTCCCGACAGGAACTCAACAAAAGAAGAACAGTTTGCATAATTTACAAAATGTGTTACTGCCTTAGCCAACTCTGCAACATCATGCAAGTAGACCATGCAATATATTTAAACTCCAATAATGTCAACCAAGAAGGTATGAATACCGAATTCCAACTTGGAAATACCTGCAGCCGAAAAACAAGCAATATCAAGCTCAACAAGTTGTCAAATGATCACCACAACAACCTAGAAACATTTTTTTCTGAAGCTATAAAGAATGAATGGCTACTTGTGCTCATTATTGATGATTTCACAAAAATCCACACCAATAGGCGCCCAAACCATCAACAATTTTCAAATTGTATGAGCATGTGTACCATTGTCATTAAGGCATTCAAATCCCTCAAAGCTATCAAAAAGCCAAAAAATATTTCTAAGATCCATCATCATGAGGGTGTAAATATCAAAGCCTGCATAGATGCTATAACAGCTCCAGAGTCAATGGCACTGCTTTCCAGCACCTACGCAAGTACCATGCCTCATTGGTTAACAAAGTCATTTTTTACCCCTGACCTAGAAAGGCACATTCTAGAAGAGCACCTTTATTGTGATGACAGCGGCGTGCGACACATGAGGACGATGGATAACCTTCATTTGATAAACTTTATGGAACTGCAGCTGAAGTCCAAGGAAGAGTTTGCTACTGCATATGATATGGCCTTAACCGGTGGTTTGAAAAAATATCTAAAGAAGTTTGTTGTGGTCCAGCCTGGAGATTGGCCTAGTCAATTTTATGGTAGGCAGATAGTATATGAATATGTCACCCGTCAGACAAAAAATTTTCAGATAAATTCTGGAAGCATTACCTCCAATGGTCCAACTTCAAGTACACCACGCCAACCAATGTTGAATGTTCCTGCGCCATCTATAACATCTGTTGTTCCAACCATGGGCCCACTCCATATCTCACTAAGCAGCAGAGAACATATTTTCATGAGTTTCAAACCATTCTTTAGGAAAGTGTACTGTCACCTTTTCCCAAGATGTAAATTGGCAGAAACACCCAAGCCATGGAGAATAAATTTGATTCTAGAAATAGTTTATGGTGGTTGGACCCTTATCAGAGAAAGAGCTAAAGTTTTGTTCCAATATTCTAAAGATCTTCAATATGGAACACTTCTTAACCTTCTGGATAACTACCTCCCACTTGTTTTGTCAATTTACACAATAACTTTTAAGACAAATAACTTTAAGGAATATTACAATGCTATGGTTAGAATATGGGTGATGTTCGTGTGCCTCAAGCGTCGTCATTACAACAAAGCACCACTTGTATGGTTGTCCTGCACCAATCACTGGGCTAAAAATTACAGTGAACTGTATGATCATTTCTGCAAGTGGCCAACAATATTTGACGAATATCCTGTGGAAAATACACACAGTATTCTCCGGGCACAGACGAAACCATCAGACACGGCTGAGAAACTGACAAGTAGGGCCAAAAGTATTTTTGAGTCCAAACAAAGACAAGCCAACTTCCGTTCTATATTTACCCCTCCCAAGCAGTTCAATTTCTCCCAACAGCAGCTACAGTTTCTAAAAGCTAAATGTGCACAATTCTTGACAAGCATACTTTCAATGATCCACAGCAAACCTGGATCAGCTTCCCTGAGCACAGAGAAGAAAACAAGATATGTTTGCTTACCTGATATATTTGGAATGATAAAGATGAAATACATAATTCTTCCACTCGGTTTTAATGCTACCACAGTTCCAAATGAAAACTGCAGATGTGACAATAAATCATGCACCGTTCACAATCCAAATGAACCATGGCAGCTATTCCAAGGATGGTGGCACTCGTTTCACAAAACATGTTTGAATGGTACGCCTTCCTGTCCTTTATGTAAGGAATTGTTGACCAAACAAGTTCAGGAATTAGGACTGGTGGCTAAAGAGGCAATTTTACATCCACGAAATGACAGAGTAACCAGTACCAATGACTGCACAGATGCAGATGTTACCTCGTGCCATACAGGTTACTTTTTGCCAGTTAGGATTACCAATGCATACACAATAGTTGCTCCAAAACTTTATTTATTATAGTTATATAAACTTTGATTGGTTATATATAGATTATATATCACACTTAATATTTCTATCTTGATCTGACTTCGTCGTTGATGTTACCTCTTCAAGAGCGTAAACTTAACTCTCTAACATGTGTTCTCAACACAGTCTATATCATGCACTATTATTTATTAACTGTAGTAAACGTCCTTCCTGTCCAACGTTTACTCTGGCTATTACGTCAATGGATTTGGCATAAACTAAACTAAACTTAATTAAATCAATACATTGACACATTCTAACACATTCCCCCTCCAGAATTAGTGTCGTCCCATGACACTCGTTGTTATTCTTTGGGAATGTAATGTACCGCGTGGTACATTGTTGAGGAGTTCTCTCCATAAAACTATCACTCTAAATTACTTACAAAACATACAATAGTAAGTACTACACAACAGGATCCTATTATTACGATTATCCAGTTTAACCTTTTGCTGCAGCTTCTGTTAACTGGCATAAACTCTTAACCTTATATACGTGATAGCTTTCAAAGATACGCTAAATATCTTAGTTTTAATATTGAAGTTATGGAGCGTTTTTTTCTTCATTGTAACGGTAGAAAATAATTAAAAATGTTATATAACTGTTCAGTATATTGGGTACGGCATCACTTGCATTGGGTGTCCATGAAACGGAGGGACTTGGTTCGGGATAGGATATATTAGGTTGAATAGATGAGGTCCAGGGAAAGGAGGGGGGTAAGGAAAAGGATTTTGGGATGCAAGGCAGGGAAATGGGGGATTTAGGAAGAAGTTGGATTGGTTGGGTTGCTGAAGGGGTTGCCATACATTGGGTGGAACTGTAGCTGAAATGGGGAATACTCTAAACGGGTCTGTCTCACCAGGGTTGTAGTAGGTTAGCCGATCAGGTGGGTGCCGTACTCGCTGTGGTCTCGGATTTTCAACTACAGGTATGGTGGGGATATCATGAACAGGGTTTAGGTTATCCTGATCACCGCTGAGGTCTAATGTTTCTTCGGTCTCGGTAGGGGGTTGCAATTCAAGGGTCTCTAAATTGTCGTCCACAGCCAGGTTATCACTTTGATCAGGAACTGCCTCGTCTGTTGGTGGCGGGTTTCGGGATTGGGCAGAACGCGTTTCTCGAGGTAGGGAGACCATTACCACATCAGAGAATTCTTCGTCGCTGGAGGTTTCCTCATCCTGCGCTGTAACGTTTCTGGGTGGTTGTCTGTTTTGGTGTCGTAGGGTTGCTGGGGGTGGTTTTGGTGTAGGTGGTTGTGGGTTTTCCGCGGGTAAATGATCACAAGGGAGAAGTAAATTTCGGTGTAGAACCCTATTCTTTCCCTTACCGTTCTCACGCTTCGTTTCGTACACTGGGCTCTCCGGGCCCTTCCGATTTACCACTACGTAGATGTCATTCTCCCAAAATGACCTCAGCTTGCCAGGACCACCACGTTCGGTAAGATTACGCACCAACACACGATCTCCTGGTTCTAGTACAGAACTGCGAACCCATCGATCATATGAGCGTTTCGCTTTGATACCTTTCTCCTTTATCTTGTCCTGAGCCATGCTATACGCTTCGTCCATTGCAGCTCTCCAATGTTTTACATACTGGGGGTATTCCTGTTTTGTTGATGGTGTTTGGGTTTGGAAAATGAGGTCAATGGGTAAGCGGGGGTGTCGCCCAAAGAGTAAATAAAAGGGGGAGAATCCAGTAGTGTCATTGCGAGTACAGTTGTATGCATGCACCACTTTGCTAACGTGATCTTTCCAACGTGATTTCTCGTTTTCGGGAAGGGTTCGAAGCATATCTAGGAGTGTTCTGTTAAACCGTTCTACCTGTCCGTTTCCTTGAGGGTGATAAGGTGTGGTACGACAATGACCAATGCCGCAAAATTCTTCCAGGGTTTTGAGCAGTTTGTTCTCGAATTCTCCACCTTGATCATGATGGATTTTGGCTGGAAACCCAAAGCGAAGGATGTAGTCGTTGTACAACTTTTCAGCCACAGTCTTTGCCGCTTTGTTTCGGGTCGGGTAGGCTTGTGCATACCTGGTGAAGTGATCAACAATCACAAGGATATACTCGTACCCTCCACTGGACTTTTCAAGGTGGACGAAATCGATAGAAACCATCTCGAAGGGGGCGGTAGTGATAACAGGTTGTAATGGTGCTCTCGTCTTCAATCTTGGTGGTCTTTGCTTAACACAGCGACAGATATTCCGTACGTAGTGCTCCACATCACTCTGCATCCTAGGCCAGTAGAACCGATCTCGAGCCAAGCGTAGGACGCGCTCAGATCCAAGATGAGCCATGTTGTCGTGAAGTTCACGTAGAACTGTTCGATGGTATGGTCTAGGAAGCACAATCTGATCGTGTGAGTTGCTCTGTCTTCGTAGAACGCCGTCTTTATCAATAAACAGCTTTGGCCATTCGTGAAGTAGGAGTTTAGTATCGGGTGATTCTGCCGCTCTCTGGGAGGAAGTTGGTCGCTGTTTTCTGTCGACAAACGAATAAACTTTTCCAATAACATTATCTTTAAGCTGAGCTTGTCGAATGTCACTAAGGTTGAACTGTGGAGTACTGCTAGCGATTGGTTGTGGATCACCTCCATGCAATACAGTGGGATCATGGGTGAGAGATGAGACCCAAGTCACTTTACCTTTGTCTTCCAACTGTATCGACTGGACGATGGCTCGTAGTTCGTCTTGGCAGGTTTCCGCAGTGCACGAATCCATGTATTCACTCATGTTTTCAGGTAATCTAGAGAGAGTATCTGCGTCGGTATTCATCTTTCCAGGGCGATAACGTATTGTAAAGTTGAAATCAGCTAATTCTCCAATCCAGCGAAAGCCAGTTGCATTCAGTTTGGCAGTTGATAGGACGTACGTTAACGGATTGTTATCGGTGTATACGACAAAACTTGGAGAGTAATACAGGTAGTCTCTAAATTGTTCACAGATAGCCCACTTCAACGCAAGGAACTCTAGTTTACCAGAATGTAGGTGGTAGTTTTTCTCTGCTGGTGTTAGGGTTCGTGAACCGTAAGCAATAACACGTAAGACATCATCCTGCTCTTGGTAAAGTACTGCTCCTAGTCCATTCTCTGATGCATCCGTGTGAAGGACATATGGGCTGTGAGGGTCTGGATATGCCATGACTGGAGCTCTCACAAGACAGTCGATAAGTTCTTCCAACACCGATTGATGAGTCGACGTCCACGATACTGGATGGTTAGCCACTGGTTTACCACGCTTGTTCTTCGAGTCATTTTCCGACACCTTCACGAGATCGTAAATCGGCTTGGCAATCCTTGAGAAATTGGCAATATACCGCCGATAATAGTTCAAGAATCCCATTAACTTTCGAACTTCGTTCACTGTCTTAGGTGGTGTAGCTTTGAGGCGTAAAATTGGGGCAATAGTTGAGGGGTCAAGTTTGTACCCTTCGCCAGAGACTACTCGCCCCAGGAAAACAACTTCTCTCTTAAACATATTGCACTTTTTGGGTTTTAATTTAACACCATGTTCCTTAAGACGTTGAAAGACTTTTCGTAAGTGTTCAATATGGTCGTTAAAATTAGAACTGAAAACTATGATATCATCAAGATATGGAATGCAGATTTCATCTCGGAGGTCACCTAAACACGACTCCATAAAACGCTGAAAAGAAGCTGGGGCGTTGGAAAGGCCAAATGGGATGCGGACCCACTCGTATAATCCCCAAGGTGTGATGAATGCTGTGAGGGGTTGACTTTCGGGTTTCAGAAATCCTTGGTGGTAAGCTTTCCCTTGGTCAAGTACGGAGAACCAAGAATTCCCTCCAAGATTGTCAAGAGTTTCCTGAATTCTCGGGATGGGGTGACGATCTATCTGCGTTTTCCTGTTCAGTTCGCGATAATCAACACACAGTCTTAAAGTTTGGTCTTTTTTCCTCACACAAACTACGGGTGAGCTGTATGGTGAATTGGACTTACGAATAAAATTTCGATTTAGGAGGTCTTCAATGTATGCCTTCACCTCCGGGTAGAGCGGGCGAGGCACGGCAACGTAGTTCTTTTGGACAGGTTTAGTGTCATTGAGCCGAATGTTCATTTGCAGATTAGGGATATGACCAACGTCATCATCGTCCTTAGCAAACGCATCAGCTTGTTCAACCAGCAGTTTTGACGCCAGGTTTCTCTGTTCCTCCGTCAAGCCGCCTAGATCTAAATCTTTCAGGTGTTCTGGTAAATTCACTGGTGAATTATCTTGTATTGTGCTGCTCTTGCAAGCACTTGAGTCATTGTTTTTATCGGATAGTACAGTGTCAGAGGGATTGTCCTTTAATTTGACATCTATTGGGACCACTGACTGAACAAGTTGGAGGCGACCAAGAACTGTACGACCCCTAAGCTGAATATTATGCCTTGTCGTATTGCGTACTTCAATTTCAACTCTACTAGATTTGCCCCCCTTCACCGTAAGCAATGTATCTGATACTTCCAAGCCCGATGGCCACTGACCGTTCTCGTCAGCTTCAAAAAGAATAGGGGTTGGTTTACTCAGTGGACCAGTGTTCGCTCTACATGATAATTTCACAGATTGTCCTGGCGGTATTATGACGTCTTTCTTACGGGTTTTAACGGGACACAATTCATTATGGTTAACAGTGTTTATCAGTTCAACCAGGGCGGAAGCACGAGCGACTTGCATACCAACAAAGTTAGATGAAATAACACCACAATTCAATTTATTTGTCTTTATTAAATGTTCAATTACGTTAAAGCCTACCAAAGGCAGTTCTAAGTTCTCATTCGTTACTAGGAATGGGACAGGAATTGCGTATTCAGATTCCCCAACTTGAAAATTTAACTCCACCCATCCTGTATAAGGGATAGTGTTACCATTGGCTGCCGTCAGTGTAAGGTCACAATTTAACAGTTCACTCACGTCTTTAATAGTACAGTTTGGAAAATTCTCTTTTAAAAACTTGGCTGAAACAATAGATACTTGGGCTCCTGTGTCCCATAAAACTTCTACCGTTTTCCCATTAATTTTCCCCGTAACCGTACATCTTTGACCTACGAGACTAATCAACTTTTCATTTTCCTTTGGAGTGAGGTGGCTCATGAAAACCTCAGAGTGGTTATCTTGTGACACTTGAGTCGTACGCTTAACTTCCCTTTTAATGGCATTACACAATGTTTTATGATGAGGCCAATTAGCTCTCTGACATGTCTGGTTACAATAGCTTACCAATTTACAACATTTGCATCGCCAAAAGTTTTTATTCAAGTTCTTTAAACAATAATTACACTGACGGGATGTTGATTTTCCGGCTAGACCCTGTCCCGACGGCGGGGTTGCCGGTACTCGTTTCCCTGAGCCTTTAAATTTTTCGCGCACTCTGACGCAATATGGCCAAACTCGCCACAGGCAAAACAATGTTGACACGTGCCGCCAATTTTCCGTTCTTTACACGCTAGACACCCTCTACCACGGTATCGTGTTTCCCTCGGGAATTTCCGACCGCCTGACGATACTTCCCGATTAGCATTAGCGTTGCTGCCTTGTTTTTTTAAACTCTCAAGGTCAGATTTGATCTCTCGAATCTCCGCCAAAATTTTATCATTATCTCCGCCATTTTTACGCATTTTAATTTCCGCACCGTCCACTTCGCACGCATTAACCTTGGCAGAACGCCTTTCACATGCAAGCTTACTCTGCCTCTCAGCTTGGTGAGATGCCAATTCGTTGACATTTTTCATTAATTCCTCGTCAGATAAACTAGGTAACCGCAAAATGGGACGTAAATTTGCCGCCAAAATATCGTCTCGTAACCCTGTCTCGAAAGACTTCATGAATGTTTTCTGAATAAGTGGTTCATCATATTGAACTTCACAATCAGACTCTTTACTAGCAAAGCCTACTTTATTTCTCAAGTCAAGGGAACGTAGGAGAAACTGTTGAGGTGTTTCTTTTTGGTCCTGGAATATTGTCGCAAGGGTTTGATAGAGTTCTGACGCGGATTTTTCACGGTAGTGAACGCGTAAAATTTTTCGCAACTTTGGCAGGGACAAATCTTTCAGAGTTTCGACATAGCTTCTTAAACTGCTATGCAATGAAATCGCGCGAATAACAGCATCTACAATCTCATTTTCGTTATACCCACGTTTTAGGCCTGAATCAATTTGATGAGTCAGCGAAACGAATGTCAGTTTGTCTGCCTGACCGGGTTCTCCAATTTGCCCAGAAATTTTGAACTCGCGACGCAGAAATGAAGCATTCACAGAGTCATCGGGTTTCATGCATCCTTTTGTTGTATTTTTAATACCAGTTGTGACATTTGTGGTTTCCGCGTTTTTTGAACTGGTCTGAACTTCGGCCAATTTTGTCAACAAATCACTCATTTCAGATTGTTGTTTTTCCTTTAATGTTTCAATTTCCTTTTGCAACGAGATAAGCTCATTTGCCTGGTCAACTTTTTGGCTTTGATCGTGAGATTTAATTTTTGCAATACAATCCTTAAACCATGCCACTTTTTCGGACATTTCCCCCTCTGCGTTAACTCTTTCATCTATATCTTTCCGAATAGTTTTTAAGATCGCGATTTTGCTCTTCGTTGAAATGTCTTTATCTAATTTGATCGAAGCAGCAAACTCTTTCAATTCGACCTCGCTTTTGGTGTAGAGTAGGGACTCTAATTCAAATTGTAATGTTTCAAGATCTTCCGTAGACATAGTTTATTATTAACACTTGTCTTCATAAAGGTCGAAAACAACTATACTGTTCACGTAGTTCAATTCACATACACGAAAACTACTTTGTTCTTACCCACATTCAAAAGCGAGAACGCATGCTATGTTCGTCTAGATTACTAAAACAATTAGAACGATCTAACCTCGTTTCTGTCATCGGAAAGCTTCAGTCTGCTCCCCCTCTCTGGACCACTTCTGCGCGTTGCTCCAGAGAACCACGACCAGAACCAACAACAAAATTCCCTTCATTGGCAATCCTGCCGGGGTCGCCAAATGTTACCTCGTGCCATACAGGTTACTTTTTGCCAGTTAGGATTACCAATGCATACACAATAGTTGCTCCAAAACTTTATTTATTATAGTTATATAAACTTTGATTGGTTATATATAGATTATATATCACACTTAATATTTCTATCTTGATCTGACTTCGTCGTTGATGTTACCTCTTCAAGAGCGTAAACTTAACTCTTTAACATGTGTTCTCAACACAGTCTATTTCATGCACTATTATTTATTAACTGTAGTAAACGTCCTTCCTGTCCAACGTTTACTCTGGCTATTACGTCAATGGATTTGGCATAAACTAAACTAAACTTAATTAAATCAATACATTGACACATTCTAACACAGACACGGAAGACACCACCACCATGAAAGCACCAGAAATTCCAGAATGTGTCGACCTGCAAAAAATCAATGAAACTGTTAATGATATAAACAGTAAAATTTCTTCTCTAACATCTCCACCACAACCTTGTCAGGAAAATATAACACATGCTGAAGTACCGGTACAACATGTTGTAACTTGACCTGCTAATGATCAAAGTCATGCACAGAATAACATGTCCCAGGAAGAGGCCCAACCTAGCAAGATGCGCTCAAAACCTGTACGACAAACACCTCAACAAAGAATTGAAGTTGTTACAAGAAATGATCTCCCAGGAATAACTGAATGGTTGTTACCAACAAACATTTGCCAGACCCGTATATGTGGAAAAACACTAGCAAGCAATGCATGTACCATCATTGCAGCACTATGTTGTAGGAGCTTCCTTAAGAGAGAATTAGAGATCCCATTAGATGCTGAGCTAGGAAATGCAATCAACAAGTTCAAGCAGTTAATCATGACAGGAAATATGCTCTATGGTGGTCTTCGGATCCCTTGTAACCAACCCAATCTGGAAGTATGTGACGTTTTGAAGAAAATTGTGGATTTGAAGCTTAGAATGGTCAAAGATCTTGGATTCTTCTATGCTGAAGACATATATGAAACATTATGTCAGCTGCTGCAGTGTGAAGGAAGACAAGCCGGAGTGTTAATTTTCCCACCAGATAAGTCTGTGGCATTGCTAGCAGATAACGAAGAGGTTGCAGTTTTCGACAACCATGAACATGGACAGAATGGGGGAATAATAACAGTTTGCAGATCCAAAAACATTGATGATTTTTTTTACTATCTTCAGACAAATGGGCATTAGATGGTTGCAACTTTTCACAACTTGCATTGGATAATTAACATAACTGTTTAGTACACTGAGTCATTTAATACCAATTTACATTTTAAAATAAATGTTATTAAAGTGCTTGCATTTTTATGCAAGTTTTCATGTTGTGATTAAATCCATATGGTGTCAAATTCTTCAGACAAATGGGACATTAGATGGTTGAAACTTTTCACAACTTACATTGGATAATTAATATAACTGTTTAGTACATTGAGTCATATGTTAATACCAATTTACATTTTAAAATAAATGTTATTAAAGTGCTTGCATTTTTATGCAAGTTTTGATGTTGTGATTAAATCCACATAGTGTCAAATCTGTTTCACACTACTGCAGTCTGATAAATAAATAATGTGACTTAATTTCATTTCAAAGTCATTTTGCAGCAAACAAGTTTATTTACCGCCTGATGCTATTAAATATTTCGATCGCGAAATCCAAACTGTTTTCGATCGCGAAATCCAATTATCCAAACTGTTCGATTTCATGCATGAACCTGACCTAGTGAAATCGACATGTTACATTTTGGCGCCAAGACGCACGCAGTTTTTATTCAACCCAAAGACCTTTTAGCGTAAGTTTCACGAGAAAAACAACAAATTAGGTGTTTAGACATAAACTTCAATATTAAATTTCAGCGGAAATCATTTTGGAGCAGAAGGCAGAATGTTTTAAAATTTAATTCAAACTAGTCAATGTCTCTCCTCGGACAAAAAACAAAACAACAATGAAATCAATCGACTAACCACACCAATCTGATGAATTAGATCCTACTCATTTGCGGTAAAACAAAATAATATATCATCAAAGAAACGATTTAAATTATTGCTGGTATGTTGTAGTCGTATACAATATGGCGTCCAAGGCATTTCAACAACAACCATGATTTAATATACGTTTGTGTGCACTTCAATTTCGAAGCTAATTTTCAACCTTTACCGGAATTTTAAAACCACAAAACTTGCCTTTAAAAGGGAGATAAACATGTTGGAAACAGCTGGGAGCAAATAATATTTTGGAGCAAAAGCTGGATTTTTTTGTATTCAGTCAAAACCAAAATTCAACATGGCGCTAAATTTTGGACATATCCACATGCGCCAGTGTTTTCATTTAACGATTTCCCAGCAATTACTCATCGAATCAATGAACTAAAGAGTCAAAACATTATTTAATATAATAAAATCAATTCCACTTACTGTTTGCAGCAATCAAGGCTAAACGGGCCAAGAAGAATTCAATTCAGCTTGAGCATTTCGGCCATGTCCCCGTTCGAGTTTCGAATTTATACGTTTACCACTGTCCGCGACCGATCATCGATAAAACGCATGCCATTTTTGTTTAAAAATCCTCATCATGGTACTACCATTGATTGCTATTCCATTGATGATGAACCCGAGACCTGTCGGCCAAGATCTCGAGTCATAAACAACATGTGCTTGCACGACTGGTTCAGCCTCGTGCAAACCACTCTCCTGTCAAACTTTGAAAATGTTCTTCAAGAAAACAACATCATCGCATTTATATAAGATAGACAGACGCAGCCACATCAATATTTTCCAATTTCAATAAAAAATGTTTATAAACAACATCAACCTGCTCGTTGAAGCAACTGCATTCCGAGCATCTTTGAAAATATGAAAATACATTTTTATTCGACTGCCAGCGCTATTTACGCACAGCGGTAACAAATTTTCCAGCTGCTACAAATATGCAGTTTCTCCGTGGAAACACGCCTCTTCTCCGTGGAAACACGCAGCTTTTCTGTGGAAACACCGCAGCTTCTCCGCGGAAACGCGTAGCATTTATGTGAAACACGATGCGGTGGCCCGAACGGGGCACCTCTTCTCCGCAGAAACATGCAGCTTCTCCGTAGAAACACGTGCCTTCTCCGTGGATGAGCACTTTCCTTGTGAATTAAAAAGGCACGCCCCCTGAATATTTCAATAATATACGACGGGGGGCAGGAAGAGAAAATAAAGTCACAAGTCAACATCGTGGTCAAAACATTACAAGCCAATTTTATAAATATGAATGCTTTAAATATGGGCGCAGATATCCAGCATATAAATTGTGAGAATTGTCAGGCAGAGATTTTGATCGTTTATAGCTTTTGTAACAATTGTGGAAATAGAGTTGATACTGGTAAGTATACATACTATAAAATTTTACTTTTTTATATTTATGTTATCATTTTTATTTGTGGATTTATATTTTATAAATTGAATATTTAAATATACACCATATTAATCTGTCAGTCAGCCTCGTATGCGGATCTGCTACACATGTAAAAACGCACAAGTTTGTAACAAGTCTACCAACAAGCCGTCAACAAGATGTATTCGCACTGCTTGTCACAAGTTGTCAACAGGTTTGGAACAACTTGTTGACAACTTGTAACAACCTTGTCGAAATTACCAGACTTGTTGTAACGTTGCTCTGACAAGTCTGTTACATGCTTGATATAACAAGATTGTTACAACCTTGTGTTGACAACCTTGTAACATCCTTGTTATATCATGGCTGTAACAAACTTGTTAGCACAGTCTTGTAACAAGGCTGATAATGCCATCAAGCTTGTTACAAGTTGTTAACAGCTTGTTTCAAACATGTTACAACAAACTGGGAACAAGCAATGCGAACACAACTTGTTGACAGCTTGTGAACAGACTTGTGACAGCTTGTTTGCAGACTTGTTACAACTTGTGCGTTTTTATGTGTGTAGTGTAGGTATTATTTTGTATATCCACTCATAACTTGTGTTTACACTACAAGCCTTAATTGGCCTAGCCATGACCAGACCAAGGTAAATATGTGGTGTGTTTACACCGTTGCACTGCATGTTTTTTTAAGAATTTTGTAATTAATTTTGTATATTTTTATCTGCTGTAACGGTTTCTGCTGGTTGTCCGCTAATCTCTCACTGTGGGGACACATTGCCATGGAAAAAAGGCCCAGACCAGGGGCGAAAGTGTTTACATTTCCACAAGTCTAGGCCACCAGTTGTAGTGAGCCCAGATCTCCTGGCCTAGGTCAGGCCAAGGTCTGTTTACACTGTCAAAATGAAGGCTAGCAGTGTAAACACGACTATACAGTACAGCCCTAATGAAAGTTAGCATCGTGTAACGAGCGAGTTCGAGCGAGAGGCTATCGAGCGCGATTTGACCCCTAACGAGAAATCTGCGAGTTGCGAGAATGCGAGCGCGAAGCGAGCGAACGTTCTCGAAAAATTTGATATCGAGCGAGTGTTCTCGAAAATTTTCGAGCGAGTGTTCTTGAAGACTTTAATTAGATATCGAGCGAGGGTTCTCGAAAATTGTTTGTATCGTGCGAAATCGAGCGAGAGTTTGACCAACATGTGGCGAAATATAGGATGATATTAATTGCTGTTTCCTTGCATGGCAAACGTCACGTATTTTGACATATATTTATACCAGTTCCCTAAAAATATAACTATGATAGGGTGATGGCGGTTATATTATTTCGTTACTCACCTTTACCCAACCACAAGATAAACAAAATTCCCTGGTTAAATCAGCGTCTGTTTATTCGAAGTGTTACATGTCAGTGTCAGTAAAAACACGCTCTTTCTATTATATACTTTATTAGAATTAGCGGTTCAACTTACTCGTTAGAAATAGAAAATAAGACTATTTCCAAAATTTTACGGTGTGACTCATATACACTAAAAGCAATCTATATAATTATAGCCTTAGGCTATAAATAATGTTAGTTCGCTTCGGTTGATTGCATTTAGTGACGGATAACTGTATTCATGCACCATCTTTACAACCACAATAACAGGAACTCCACCGACAACTTATTGTCTCGTATGGATTATCGAAAACAAAAGAGCGTTACAGATTATGTCAGTGAAAAACATGCTGTCTGATTTATACTGAGATCTGAAGCGTCTTAGGCTCATTACTATTTTGATGTCTGTCGGTGAGCCACTGAGCCTGCTCTGAGAGATATTATAGAAATAGAAATAAGAACGCCATGTCTTCAAGAAACTTGACGAAGTTTTACTTACTTAGTTAGTTAGTTTACTTTTACGCTGACAAGAGACTGTTAGTGGTGTCGCGTGAGAAGTTACTGAGCGCAAATGAAGTAGTCATCGCGGTCAAAGGAAGTGACGTCCAAGTGATGCTGAATGGAAAGGTATGGAAGGCGAAGTTGATATCTTTTGTAGGTAAAATAATACTTATTTTTCGTAGATTGTATTTCGTCTTTATTTCAAAATATTGATTGTGGATTTTAATGTTTCTGGATTTTAATGTTGTCCTTAAAGATCAGTCAAGAATTGACTCTGTATTGTTATTTTCAGTTTACTCCGTGTTTTCGCACGGACATGCGAAGCAACGTTACTTCTTGCGAAAAATTTTACACGCAGTATAGAGCTGCGAGAATTCTCGTGAATGGATGCATCGAGAGTTCTTGTTACGAGAATTCTGGAGAATGTTTGCATCGAGATTTCTCGCTTCTCGCAAAATTCTTGTGTATCGAGTAACGCGAAGCGCGTTTCGAGAAGCCTATCGAGCGAGCGAGAATTTTTATCGAGTGAGTCTCGAGATCTCGATACTCGAAACATTTCCCTCGATAGCATCGAGCGAGAATGGTTAACTTTCATTAGGGCCGTACTGTAGATGAAGTTGGTCTGCATCTGTACATGTCTGGGCAGCCATGCTTGAACTTGACTGTGATCCCTTTATGGAAACCAAGCGGAGGTACTGCGTTTGAACCAGTTATGAACTGCAGTAATTTCGGCAGGGTCCCTTCTGGGTTTTCTACAAAATGTAAGGAACAATTTTAGTATTGAAACCGGGGTTTTTTAGACTACGAGCGTTCCCTTCTTTCCACGGGTTTAGATTTCCAGGCATGCGAAAGGAAAGGAAAGGAGGGACTGTCTACAAGAAACGAAATACGAGCTGCCCACACAACGCAAAATTCCTATTGGTCGAAATCGAAACGCCTGTCAATCAAATCTGACACGTAGTAATTATGCTATAAATAATTTCCATGACAACGGTTCCTATTCGATAGATTTAATTGGACATAAGTAATGTTTATGCAAAGGCGGAGCCAACTTGACAACAGCGAAAAGTGGGCGTATTTCTTTTCTTGATGTGTTGTCGGCGGTCCCTCCTTTCTCTAACCTGCGATCAGGCCTATAAATAAATAAATAGGCATGATACAAACCTTAACAAAAGTCCGTGCCGTACAACCGTATTTTGGTTGCAAATCTGATTGATCTATGAGACAAAAGATTTTTTAATCTGTCATTTGATTGGTTGGTGCTAATTAGATTATACTATTGTTGTTGATATATTTTATAATGATCACAACTATAACTAGATTGTTGGTTGTCGTTGTGTGAAATTTAAATTTCTCCTGCGACATTTTGAGATTGGATACTAAATATAAACTTTGCTGTTGGTGGAAAGCTATCGGGTTAAGGTTTGTGTCAGGCTATATTTGTAAAATAGAGCCTGATATACTCAGGTTTTTATTTCTCCCAAGGGACTTCTCGCGGTCTAGGGTTTTTCGTGTTCTACATTATGACGTCACACATGACTATGACGTCACATTGATCCTCAAAAGAAATTTATTATCAGCACGAAACAATGGGCGTGCAGGAAGACAAACTCGTACCCAGGCTATCTTCTCTCCATTCTGGTGCCAAGGCCACAATAAAGTTCATTGACTGAAGTGTTATATTTGGAATTTTCCAACCTCAGCAGGCAATAAGCCGATGGTTTTACGGCAAAATTTCGATAATAAAACACTTTTTATTGTAGAAATTTAAGTACTAAGCTTCCCAACTTTTTACAATAATTTGAATAAAGTTGGAAAATATATCCAAGGTGTTTTTTATCTAGTTTTTTTCTCTCAAAAATTAGCGTTATTTTTGTTGTTTCAAGCGACCATATTAATGTGTGGAAATATATTGTGTCAGAGAGTTGCTATCCTTAGGATATACTATATGACAATACAATGACGTAATATTTTATATAGAACATTTAATAATAAGCGCATGGCATTTAATAATAAGTGCATGGCATTTAATAATAAGTGCATGTCGTTGGCATGAGCGACAAAAATCTGTCTAAAATAAATAAAACTTACCAGAGTATTCACAATCCTTTATGTAGTCATTGAAAAACTTGTATATGTTTATTTCTACTTCTTTGGTGTTCGAGCCAGATTCGCTGAATTCTCCACGCATACTTTCAAGGAATGTTTCTGCATTGACCGAAAAAAATTATTGACTTAGCGAACACTGGTTCCAATAATTCAGCATTCTCTTTAATGCATTCAAGCATGCCAAAGGAACGTAACCCCTCAATCAGCTGGTCCAACATGGGCATTTTTGTGCAGAAGTCGGAGATTACAATTCATCTAAATAGTTAGAGAAGGAAGAGTTAACAGCAATATACCATGATTCCCTCTGATCAATAATTAGTAGTAGCTACCTGTATAATCGAAACTCAACGGGTTTATATTTTACATTTTTTGTTTGGTCAACTTCCAATCGTATATAAAAAACTTTACCCTTGCTATATACCAACCAATTACTGCAAGTTTCTCATATTTTATATTTAGTATACCTTACAATGACATCCCTAGAGGCCAAAGTTTCTCTCGATGCGACTCCCCTATAACCGACTTTGTCAAGGACGTTGAAAACATCATCGGACAACAGGATTTCTTTGTATGTCGCTTCATCATCACAGTCACGTAACTGCAATTAAATTTTTGGGTAAATTATGCAAACACTATTCAAAAAAATTGTAAAATGGGGAGACGTAATTGCGACATGGGCGCCGCATGCGCTTCAATTAATTAGTGAACGCTCAGAAGATGTGCATGCCGTTTGTATTCCATTTATCCCTGCGAAAAACAAGAGAACATTTTCTATTTCTCAAAACGAAACTATTTTAATAACAGCTGAAAACTATCTTTTAATTTTGTGATTTGTGTACCAACTCTAATGAAATGGTGATTGCAGAGCTACGAAATTGGATATAATACGTTAGACAGCCATGCGTATAAAATACAACTGTAAAGCTTTTGTATGGCTTCCTTTAGACAGGCATCTTCCACGATATCGTTTGCATCATCAGCCTTAGTGCTTGAAACACCATGCACGATATATGCGAATGATGACGTGCTGAGGAAACTTGGCGCTGGACCACCTTGAACAACAGAGCTGGCCATAATTTCCCCAGCTACTTTGAACTCTTCGTTTGCAAGGGCGGCCATATTAACAACTGGAAAACCGTCATGGAAGAGTCTCCTACCCATTTGTTCCAGTGCCTCTGTTGCAAAAAGTGAATTTGAAGTTAAATCGTAGAAAATATTGTAATTATTATTCATGCTCACCATTTGTTTAGAAATAATATGTACAAATTTAACTAACCAACAAGGTTTTGTAATATACATTGTTAGTTTCGCAGTCAAACGTTTGATCCCCGCCTAAATTTCACGCTTATATGTACACACCTGAAAAAAATTCGCGCCGAGGTCCTCCGTCATCAACCGCTGGTTCGCCAATGAATGTGACCTTAAGCATGCCGTTCTGGTTGAATCGTCTTCTCTTTTTTTGGCGTGCGACTGCAGCAAGATATGCATATCTTCTCCTGATAGAAATCCTATTGATGTTCTCCATGTCGACATACTGACGTAAATTGGAGACTACTTCCTTAATTTTTTCCAACTTGCCACTTCCATCATCAATCGTAGCCACTTGCTCACGTACTATTTCGTCTTGGGCGTCTAGCGTCTCGGACTCTAATTCCACGTTTACGGTACCAACAGGGTCAAACTGCTCTGCACAAACATCAGCGTGTGCTTCAATTTCACGTATAGGAAAATCCAAATAGCACGTGGGGCATGTCGCTCTGACTTCTTTGTGTTCAAGAGACTGATTTTGGACTGTATCTGCTGAAGCATCTGAATTACAAAGAAATGGTATGATAGACTGGGTGTTATTTGGAAAGTTAGCCGACAAGATTTCGCATTCACTGTCAACCTGCCCAAAGTGTGATGTAAAATTGATGTATTCTTCAGGACCAGCTAAATCATCGTCGGATTTCGCCGATTCTGCTTCTGACTTTTGTACACATTCTAATTTGCATAAATGAAGTGCCATTTTTGAATAAGGCTTTCCCATGTCCTTTTTGTAGTCTTTGAGGGAAAACAACTGAGACGATCCTGGCAGGAGATTCACAACTGTATTATCTGGGTGTAATAAAACATATTTGTTGATATTTCCGTTAAAAGAGCGAAAATGTTTGGAGTGTTTAGTAAGTGCCTCTTGAAGTAGTCCATTTGCATTGATGCATGGGTCAACAGCAATTGGGAGAGCTCTTCCTTTCAGTACCTTGAGAGTAGAGTCCAATTCGCTAAACTCCTTAATGCCAACTTGAATCTTAACTTTTTCTGTTGAATTGGCTTTGCTTGATTTTGATCTCTTGGACTTGCTAGAAGTCGATGGTAAAGTTGTTACTCTGCTGGATTCCTTTCGTTTTCGGAATTCTTCACACGTCATGGATTGTTGCTTGGTGTCATGATTTGGTGGTTGAACGGTTGAAGTTGAAGGAGATTGAGTTGTGGTTTCAGACAAATCTAGAGTATAAATATTTAATATAAATTCTTCAATAATATAGATTTACAAATGTGAATTATTGAATAATGGCACTATGTTAGTACTGTACTGCACTATATTTTTTGCTAACGAGAAAAAAGTGCCCTTTGTTGTAATGAAAGTACCGATAATTGTTCAGAAATGTGTTAAATATTCATTAATCGTTCTAAAATATCAACGTACTGAAAGACGACGTAGTTTACGGATAAAGGAAAACCCCACAGGGGGGTGTGTGTGTGTGTGAAGGACAGCTAAATTTTGACCCCCTGGAATTCAGTTTGTACACCCCTTCCTTGATATTTTCTAGGAATTCATTGCTAGATACCCCTTTAATCATAGACTCAGGGCAGGAACTACTGGTGTGTGTGTGTGTGGGGGGGGGGGGG